AACAGAAAGAAATTCAGAGAAAGTTTTATGAGTATTCTTAATTTATATAAAACCTTTTTACATTATAAAAATTATACTTCACTAATTTATAAATAGATAATTTTTTCTGGAGAAGAAGTCAGATCAGAAAAATTTTAGGTAATCCAGCATTTAAAAGTAAGAAAAAAATTCGAAAGAAATTAAACTGTATTTACGCAATATAATGTACTTTTATTACAAAAAAAATGAAAAGTATTGTCCCTTACTAACATGGCGAGGAATGTGACGTGAAAATGCAATTTCCGGAGGCAACTTGAATAATAGTCACTATTCGGCGAGGTGACTGAATTAATTTGATCCCCAGGACAACGCGTCGCGTCAGACGGCAGGACCCATATCCAGACGCAATGACAGGACGATATTCGGACACCGTGGCCGCCTCCAGGCGGTTAGAAAGTTCAAAGTTCAATGAACCGCAACTGGCCACGCGAAAGGATCGCACGCAGGCGTGGACGCGCGCACGCATGCACGCCCGCACGCACGTACGTACGCGGAAAGCTCGAAGAGAAAGAGGAAAGGGGAGAGAACATTGAAAGGCTCGTTTTTTGCCAGCTGATTTACTCTTACGAATTGGCTGTGCGAAGAAATATTTTCTTCGGCGGGATAAAAGATCAAAACAAACGGCGCACACGGTGCGCGCATTCGTGACCGAGGTGGTGCAGCAGCGAAACGCGAGATTCTCTCTCGCTTGCGCGCGATAACGATGCCGATGGGGCACCCTGCCGCAGGAAGGATGCTTGAAAAATAAGAAACGCAGAGGTAACACAAGTTGCGAGCGAGACAGAACGAAGCCACGGGCAATAATTCTCATATTTTAGGGAGGCAATTTCGAAGGCGAGTGCGCACATACGAGGGAAGAGAGCTGGATTTTCGAGGGCTGTACTTTTCGATAATTTATGCCAACGAGCTCGCCTCGGCTCCGGCTCGACTTTCCGAGAAGCAATTCCCTTCGCCATGCCCACACGGTTGCCCATCCGCGAAATTCCGTCCGGCGAAATAAGTTTCGATTCATGCGCGCGTGGCGTGTCGCGACATTTTCTTTATCCGAATTGTAATCTGGTCTCATTCGATTTATTTAAAATCCCCGAACAAGATTCGCCCACGACATTGAGGCACTTAAATAACCATTTAAATTTTAAGGATTGTTTAAGATAAAGCAGATTGGAGCAACTTAACAATGTTAAAGAATTTTGTTACCTTTTGTGAGAAAATATATTCGTCTGGTCCCTCAAAGAATCTCTTCGAAACAAAGTATGCCCGAATACTCGAATCGAAAATTTCGATTATACTGAGCAAACGTATAATGATAAACGGAAACGTGACCGATCAAGGGCGAAACGGGAAAAGAAGGAAAAAGATAAAACAATGAAACAATTTAATAACACCAATACGCGGTGGGCGGGAAAGAAAGTGTGTACCCGTATTTATAGGTGTTCCAGTAAGGCAGGTAGTAGTACGTGGAAGGATTTAAGATACGCGAGACCAAGCCAAGTCCGTAGCTCGGATGCAGATGATCCAAGATTATAGACATTAGGGACATTAGCCTTGGCTTTATGCGATTCTTCGGTGGCCCCGGGGTCCTCCGGCTCTGCATTCGTTCCTCGCGCATATATACGCGTGTGCACCGTGCTGCGTCCGCGTGAAATAATCTAGCGGCGTTTTCCCGACACATATTCTGCGAACCGTATATACAGATAACACTTGTGGTATCGTTTAAAAATTCAAAGGTGCAGCCTAAGAAACTTCCAAAGATTTCTATCGACGACGCCTAATATACGTAATATAAACGCGAAAGAAAGCACGCATCATCGGTCAAGGGAACGTGTTCGCGCGGCGCGAGAGGGTAAATCGTCGACGAGGTAGGTGTAGAGCGAGAGGGCGAGAGCGAGCCGCAATCGAAAGACGAATGAAACGTCGAAGGCGACGATTACGGGAGTGACTATCCTATAATCCACCGGCGAGGATGGTTTCTTAGATCCTGTGCTTGATTGGTAATTGGATCCTACTTCGGTGCAGGGAGGTATATATCTGCGGATGAAGAAGGTCGTTTACCTCTTTCGATGGAGCAATCTTCTCACGGCGAAATAGTTAGTCCGAGATCGAATCATTCACTTCCTCCGCTTCCGATTTCGCATCGATCATGTTTATCGCGGAATTACCAAGCACGTAACAAAGATGAATTAATAAAATAACTCTATCAAGAGATGCTGAGAGTAATAACGATCTAAAAGATTAAGAAACAAGTCATTTAACTGTATTAAAAAATTTTCCGATTACTTTTTCGCTCTTTTTTAACGTTTAATTTTTGCGTTACATCTTTAGCAAGCTTCTCGTATATAAAATAAGACATCACAGAGACGGCGTGCTCGCTTCGAGATCCACAACGTTCATACCTAAGGAGAGAGCCAAATCGGAGGAGCAAACCGCAGGGATGTGTCGCGGTGGTTTAAGGATGATGAAGGCGGGACCTGGCATTCCTCGACGGACAACCGCAGACAGTGTCGACACGGTTGCATAAACTCAATGGTCCATTACCGACAGTGTTTACGATTTTTCAATTACTGACTGGCTGATGGAGGATCATCGTTACGTCGAAGACAAGGTCGTCCCATCAAAAAGATTCTCGATAGGCAGGTATATATGCGATTAAGCCGAGAAGGAACGGCTAATATTATATTATAATATTTTATCAATCCGACCTTAAGAACATCATAACGAAAATTTCTAAAAACATTTTAAATACAAAAAATCCTAAAATATTCCGCACTCGTGTGTGCACTATAAATTCTTATTAAGATTATACTAGCTTCGCAGAGAACATTTTCCCTTTTTTAGAAGTTATGACTGCAGTCTATTCTCATGTCCGCGGAAAATTTCGCGCAAAAATTTCGCGTCATGTCATCCGAAGTATTCAACCGCGAAGCTTACACGCTAGAAGGAAGCCGCTGGAGATTAACGCACGTGCAATATTGCGAGGTTGCAGGTGTAGTCCGCACGTGATGGACGCCTACTTAAAGATTCAGATACTAAAACACCGTCGCTCGGGAACCTGCGTTTGTACTAAGCTGCCTTTTCTTCGGTAAAGTTTTCGCCATTTTCTATTATCGGCTTTGATAAATGGATTTCCGATTGGTGAGTCTTGTTCCTTTTATTATTTAAGTTATTTGACATCCGCGCGTTCAAGCCATCTATCAAAATTTATCATATCTATCAGACCCATTCAATATCATTCAATATATTATAAGTAACAATAAATATTATAAAAAGATAAAAGCAACGACACAAATCTAAAGTCTACATGATGTGGTAATAAATAAATTCAAGCTGTTTTTTTCAAAATACGAATATATATTCTTTTTATTAATTCGCGGCTTAAAGATCAACTTATCTTCCGAAACCCAAGAGGCGATGTTACTAAATTCGCGTTATCGCGATAAAAAAAACATCAGCCACTTGAGGCGCAACTTTGTGCAGTTAAACTCGGGCGGAGAAGCGTTCGAGCAGGTGCAAAGGATTCGAGCGGACAGTTTTACCTCGGAAATAGAGCAGCAAGAGATAGAATGCGCCTTGATGACTCAGGCTAGGTTCCATTCTGAGAAGAGCGAAACCTCAAGCAAACGGGGTTTCGCTCTCGTATAGAAATTAGTAATAATTATATAGGACTAGCACCTGCACGCAGGTGCAAAAACTCGGGGGAACGCTCGTTGCTGTCATGGTGCTCGTGCTCTCTTGGACGAGCAGCCATGAGTCATTGTCGAAGCGAGAGAAACATCTACCCGAACCGGATATACCTTTGTACCACGGTTGCTTGTCGATGACAAGCTAAAGCGGAAAACGAGTCATCCCAATAGAATGCATCTCGTGACAGAAATTAACTTTAGCAAAATCGCAATAAAAAATTTCTCAATGTCAATATGATATGACATTTAATAAACTCTAATTAATATAATTTAATTAGTAGTTTTGTGACCAATTAATATATTTAAAAATTAATCTATTTTATCCTAAAATGTTTTTTTAGGAGAGCTTCAGTTTAATTTAGAATAAAAATTTCCAACACAAATAAAAGTCTCTTCTGTGTAAAATGGAAATAACAGCTTTTTAGGTTTAAACTGCGAAGTAGCGTATGGAAATATATATTTGCAATATTGTCCAAGTCAGTAGAACTTACTTACATACGCGTTAAACACGCATCATGCATAATGTATACATTTAGTATATGTATTTAGTCACCGATGGTGACCAACTCGACTTCGCAAGTATTTCTGACAAGACAATACACTTTCTAGTTCAAGTTACGTTTAGTAGTCTTTGAAGAAAAAAATTCGCGAAAGGAATTAACATTAATAACGAGTACGATTGACTCAATCGTCAATTAATTTTGTTCTGTCAAAAATAAAATATCGAATAAGAAAATTATTTAACAACCAAAAGAACGATAAATATCTCTATAAAAAGAATATAAATCTATAATGTAGTATAAACACGAACTGACAATAAAATCGCGTGATGCAAATTATTTCGGTATAAAATACAGACTTAAATTTAATGTAATATTAATGCAAAAAAAATGTATATTACATATAAAAGCAGTTAATGTTGCTTTACATAAAAATTTTGATATAGCTAAAAAGTTCCTACTTCAAATTCAAAATAAAGATTACTTCAATCTCTCTTCCTTTTTTTCAAAAAAATATTGCAATACTTTTTTTATAAAAACTTAGTCTCTTTAGTCGACGAAATAAAATTAACTGAGATCTTTATAGACCTTCTAAACCAATATATGTAATAGCAAAACAATTATCAGCTATTATTTTAATACATTATTTGATACAATAATTAAAATATTGTATATATTTGTATAATTAGTACACCGCAATGTTTTATAAATGTAAACACATAAATGTAAGATTATTTGCGATATTAAAAGATGCGAAAAATTCTGGCAAATTTTGACTTACCCTTCAGCTGCGTGGTCTCGATCGCGAACATGTTAAGCGCCAAAAGCTGAAGTAAACGAGTACCAGGAAGCGGTAGTGGCGAATGTTGCAATAAGGCTCTGAATTCCTTCAGCATTTGAACACCGGCTTCTTGAAAAGTCTCCATTCTAAAAAAAAAAGAATACAATCTTTTTCGTATTCTTGCAGCGTTTATATTTTGTAGCATAAAAATATAATCGACTCTGAATCCAGGTTACTTAATTCTACTTAATATATCAGATATCGATTTTAAAGAGACCAACTGATGAAAAATCGAATGAATAAAATTTAACTAATTTACTTAACCTATTTTTATCGTTAAATAAGGATATATATTTAATATAAGAAATCAGATGGCGACAATTTTAGATGGTTAACGAACAATTTTTGCTCGCTTTAAGTGATAAAATATTTACGTGTAATTATGTAGTATAGTTAAAAACAACAACTCGATATCACTTTTCATATCCGTTAAAATTTGAAATATTTTAATAATTAAAATTTTGATCTATACAGAGTATTTTTAGAATGGTGCAAAATTCATAAGTACACTCTCTTTGATCATTATGAAAACCACACAATCGTTTTCGATCAACACACTGAAATATCAATAGCTCTTGAGTAACAAGCAATTCAAAATACTATCCATTTTCCTCCACCTTTGGAAATTAGACACGCACAATGCGGACGATTAACGGCACGGAAAGGGTGAGCACCCACGTAAATGTCTCTTCAATCGATCTTGGCTCTATAAGTAATCGAGTTTAGATCGAAATCGGTGAATCTGCGACCCACGTCGGCGGCTAATCCGAGACCGGTGATAAAGGAGGACGAAGGTGGCCACGAGGTCTAGAGCCGCCGAGGGGGCATCCTCGTAAACACGGCAACGGGAGACCTCGCATAGCGGACACTATCTTTCCCACAGCCTCTTTCCGCGTGGCGTACCGTCTACATTTATATATATTGTATATGTATATACACACAATGTATATTAAATCTGTGTAACGTCTCACTTGATATCTCACCCGCGCCGCGCCGAGTTTGTAATTCGGAATATTCGTGATGCAACCTCCTTTCAATCCTTCTCAACTCCTCCCATTATGTCCTACTTAACATTTTCCAGCTTTAAAAGTAGAAATTTCTAAATATGGAAGAAATCAAATAACTACTTCTAATGTTATCATTTCACGCCAAAAATGTTTTAAAAAATGTAGAAATTTTAATTGAACTTTTTAACTTTAATCTTTTATCAGAGAGAATTTATTTAAATGTACCATTTATAATAATTTTTTCTAGTAATCACCTTGATACCGTTGATTACAACTACAATGCCATACAGAATATCTTTCAGTACAATATAATTGTACATTTCTTTTTTTACCTCTTTCTTACCGAGTTTATTTTTAATATTTATAAGAATTTTAGAATCCACATTTTACATTTTTGTCCTCGAATCAACTTCATTTATATCCGACATTTTATAAAATTTGAACTCTTGGATTTTATAAATTCTGATTCTCACAGTCACTATTTCTATTTCTGGTCTCCGATTATTTAAAAGTATAAATTCTCTTTCAAAAATGAAATGACCAAGACCGTTCGATGCGCTCGTCGCACGTCTCACTTGAAAAATGGTTTGATGGATATTACACAGTAAACGGTTACGGGAAAGTAAAACTAATTCGATCTTCAAAGAGAAATGATAAAAGGACTTTATAAACGCAAAAGGGAAAGGGTTTACACTCACAAATAATTGCGCACTTACTTCCAACCGCAATTACCATACTATTTTTGCTGTGTCAGAAGGAATCAATAAGTAAGTTTCCGTAATTCACCGTACGGACAAACGTCCATAAGGAATTGTTGATAGCTCTGTAATATTAGTGTCCGGCAAAATGACTGACAAGAAAGACATTTGGAAAAGTCGGTACTATCTTATCCTTAGAACTTATATGACTATATCGGGTATATGGCCGTACAGTAGACTTGGCGTCAGATACATACGCTTTATACCGACGTTTATATTCTGCAGTAGTATTCTGATACCCCAGGTAAATTTTAAGATTAACGCTTACCGAGAAAACAATTGACTGGTAAATTATTTATGTCATCGCAAACGAATTAGTTCTTAGTTTCTTTTTTTTTTAATGAAAACTTTGACGTATTGATATGTTCCACACACAATATCGATTCCAAAATAGTTACTGTACGTGATAGTTTCCAAGGATATCACTAATATAATAGAGAGTGTAACAGCAGCGATGATCAGTATAATATTCAGCTATAAAGTAGCGAGCATAATGTTTAACAAAAATGTGAGTAATAATACTAGCAAGTTCAATTTCGTTTGCGTTACGTAATCGAGCTGTTTCTTCTCTAAATTGTTAATTCAATGAAAAACGTATAAGCGTATATTTATATAGATAAAGTCTTGTCTTAAGACAATAGAGGAGGATTGGTTGTCATTGAATACAGATACGGAAAAATCTATTCTGCAACGCCACACCGAATACGGACAATATCTAACGACGTCTTATGCAGGTACGTGTGTATGTATCATAGAAAACATGTAGGTGTACTTTTTAAATTTGTTTACACACAATTGTGGCGTCTATATAATGGCGCATTTATTACTTCCGTAATTTTTTAAATTTGTAAATTATTTATACTTTTCAAATCGTAAAATTTGCATACAATATATAATTATTATAAAAAAGATGCCCTTGTTTATTCGGAACAAATGTTTTTAAACCGTGCAAGAATTTCAAAAGACGATAAAAGTGTATGGAAAGAACTTGCTGATACATATCATTTTTTCTAGTTTTCATGCATATGACACAAGTTTTTTACTTGGTCAAGCCAGTCGTCCTGACGCTCTTAGAAACCGATGTCGCGAATTCTACGAAGACGTCTATATCGAAGTTGCCGTTTCGCGTCGAGTACGGTGTAGACATAGATCGATACTTCTATCCAATAACGATTCACTGTTACCTAGCCGTATTCGCTCACGTGTTTAGTACAATCGCGGTTGACTCTTTATATTGCACATTGATCCAGCATGCTTGTGGGATGTTCTCCATTATTGGGTAAAAATATCAGGATCCAGAGCTAACAATTAAAAATTAAGATAAGAGTATTATTTTTTTGCACCAACATTTTGGTGCGCTTCCAGACACGTGCTAGAGGAAATTGGTAAAAATAATGACGCTAATTTTCGTCTGACGCTAAACAAGAGAGAAGACAGTGATTACAAGACGGCATTGAGTTGCTTACGTAAACATCTGCAAACAATAGAGTGCGTATTAACGAAAATGTGTAGTAGATCTTGATTAGAAATAATATCCAGCAAATCGATATCGATATTTCTATGTTTGTTTGTATCTGTGCTCAGATTCGCAATTTTGTAGATTCGCGGAACTAATCGAGTCTACGTTTACAAAAATATTTCTTATCAGCGTTAATCTAAATATGATCGGTGGAAGTATAACCGGTATACAGGTATGCATCAATCTCTATATCACTATATTTTACCACTGAATAAAAAATGTAACTCGATTACAATTAAACTCAGGTGAGATGGCCATAGAGGAGAGACGGGCTACCCATGTTCTCTCAATCTAGCTATTCTAGTTAGCCAGCTAGTATCGAATGGGCCATCTCTCTTCTAAGGTCATCTCATCCGCGAATTTATCCTATTTCACAAGAATAATAATTATACTTTCAATAACGAATGCATAATTTTCGGAATGTCAGGTATGCTCGCACCTAATCGAAGAAATCAGAGATTTAGTTTAAAAGTTTTTTTGAAAGGAATTAAATTCGTGTTTCAGATGGTGATGAATTTAAACAAAGGTGTTAGAGACGCAGCAGCGCCTATGGCTATTTATATTGCGCAACTTGTTCATATCTTTCTACAATTCTGGCAGGCACAGTTTCTGTTAGATTACAGTATTATTCCATGCGAATCCATGTAAGAATGCAAGTTTCTTCTGTCTTATCGCTAGTTGTATTTAAAGTGATATACACAAACTTTACTCTGCGTTATAGCTGCAGAGGAAACTGGTACTATACTTCGAAGAGATGTCAAAGGCTTTTTCTTTTAATTATGACTAGAACTATAACGCCGTGCAGAATAACTGCCGGTAAAATCGTAACTTTATCAATCGAAAGCTTCGGTGCGGTAAGTAAAAATTGAATAATTATTTTTAAATTATCGATTTTTAAAAACTGCAGCATGTCTCAAGTGATATTTAATATAAATATTTCTCCGTGTATATATATATATATATATCCCGAAAAAATTATAAAAAGATTACATAATATCGGATTTTTATTTTCTAAAGGTTCTGAAAACGATGATGTCTTATTTTACGGTGCTACGTTCCTTCCAGTGATGATACTATCATATCGAAGTAACCATACATACATAATTAACAATACGCCGTTAGCAGAATAAAATTGTGTATAAAATTTTTCTTCGTATCTATCTGGATGTCAGTATTATAATACAATTAGCGCTGAGTGTTAATTTGAAAATTAAATCTCTAGACTTAATTAAAATATAAATTAAATCTCTAAATTTTTAAATCCATATCTCATCGCATACACACACAACACGTTATCTATATTCTACATCAACATTATTTATATGTAATACCTCAATTTTTAGAACGTACAAAAATTATGCTATATAATTCTATAATATCTGTTATTTCTCCGTTCCTTATTTCTGTTTATTTTTTCCAAATATTCTAAAGAAACTTACTTTAACTTTAATTGTCTTGCTAGAGGAACTACAAAAAATGATTAATGCATTCGTTAAATTTTACTGTTGAGAAATTAATCAGTGGATAATTTGCATCTAAATAACTTTTAAAATTTTTCAGAAATCACGATCGATTTCCGAATCATTGTATTTCACGAGACCGATTCCAATAAGCTAGTGTATCTTTCAATAGGCTGAATGAATGGGTAGGCCCGAGAACGTGCCACTTCGCCAGATAAGAAGAGAGAAGAAGAGAGAAAGAGAGATCTCTCGCGGCAAGTTGCGCCGTTCCGACTTCTATGCCAACGTACCGTTATTACGTACTCTCGATTAAACTCCGAAGAATGCCAAGTAATCGCTTAACCCCTTCGGCTCCCGTGGCTTCACCGCGTAATGAATCACCCGGATCGCGTCCCTCGGCCGCGAGGAGGCGAAACATCGGGCTCTACGGGGACACGACAGTCGCTGATGGTCCTCGATTGTAAACCCCGATGTTTCTGCCGAGGGTAGAGAGAGAATGCCGAAGAGGCCACTATTCCCATCGCGTCTACACACGCCGCGAGCGATAAACGCGGCTGCTGAAATCGGACACCTCTAAGCGCGGCCAGCGGCGCGAATCAAGGCGCACACTCACACGCTCGTTTGCCCGCTTCGTTGTTCGATCGGTCGAAAAAGACCGTTAGCCGCCGACTGAAATCAAGTTGGTACGCTACCATCCCACATCGCGTGGTATAATCGTCCGTATTTATTCGCGCCATTACTGATGCCGACGATGCCGCAGCCCCGAACAAGAGAGTAAAACGTGACGAAGCGAGGTGCAATTCTGCGCCAAGCACGCCAGTTTTTGGCAGCGCTTGAAGGTAAGACCTCGTTATCGTAATTTAAAACGATCGACTAACAAACAACACTATGTTTGATATATATTATAATTTTTCGTATTTTAAGCTTCATCAAGGGGAATTAAAATACGGGACAAATTTGCATCGAATATTTTCTCGAAGTTACGAGAAACTGGAATTAAACTAGAATTACCTGCTTTCCCTCTTCGCTTTGAATGGCTCGGACTACTTTATTTAATTTCAGATTCAACTGCGATATGCATATTCAACCATTGCGACGTTACTTTAAGTTCATTAATATTAAATGATAATTTGTATAAATGCTCTCAGAATGAAGTCTATGAATTAAAAGTAACATTAAGATATTTTACGAGCTGCTCCTATATATAAGTATAAATAACTCAAAACTTTTTTTAATTTTTTGAAAAAATTGAAGTTGTGTACTACACAAACAAAACTTTTAACGTTACTATAGAAAACTATATATATATATATAAAACTATATATAAATCATATCTTTATTGTGACACATATCGAAACTTTTTCTATGTCAAGAATTTAGCACGCGAAAAAAATAATGTGTGTGTGTGTGTGTGTGTGTATAATCGTTCCAACATAAATTTTTAACGCAACGTCGACATGTCGACGCTACTGACACAAAGATGGACGGACGCGAGTAACTAGTAATTTTCATATTACTCAAGCATAATCGTAAATCTGTATAGCGTTAATACCACTTAGCCAGATACATTATGGTATCGGATCTGATCGTAACTCCGTGATCATCGATTTCTTTATCTTGTCCGCGCTTTACAACTCTCTCGCGGCAGATCGAACGACCTCGTTCGGAATAATGCACGGTAACTAAGAGTCGTATCTGCGACCGATCGATCGTAGATAACGATGATAATCTTATGGCAGATCGATCGAAATATCGACCCGTGAAAGTTCCGAAGTAGCGACGTTGGTCGATTAACTTTATAATTTTTTGATAGATGCTAAAAACACGATTATCACACGCTAGAGAAGGATTCTCGCGTGCGCTTATTAAGTCTGCTATATTAACAAAGTGACTACTATCACGCGTGAGAGATAAGCGCTATCGTCGCCTTCACGCTCACTGCCGTTGTCGATGCAGCGCGGCATTGAAATCACTATGCTACGCTAAAGCATTAATAGCAAGCGTTGCAAGATGACGTTTTCAATTCCTGCATCTCGAAAAGTCGATTATCCTGAACAAAATTATAACAATTCCGTCAAAAGGATTACATTGCAAAAATACCTTCACTTTTTTGAAAAGATTCAAAGAAAAAATGTTTTATCTATGTGAGAAGTAAGAATTGGGAAAATCAATTAATATCGCACGAGCCAAAACATAAAAACTAATATAAATAATTCAATAAATAATATTAATAAATACTATTAATAATGTAATAATTCAGAAAGCTAATTAATACTATGTCTTTACAGATATCTCTCAGTATTCCTATGAACTAGAATTATCTGGAAATGGATCATGATCATGACCACACATAAGAAGACACAAGGATCCTTCAGTTAAGTTCGTTTAAGAACCAATTGAATGTCGCTACGTTTGATTAAGTAGATTTATTTTCCTTGTCTAAACAAGATAACGAATCGCTGAGCTATGATAGACTCACTTAAACCAAACTGTCGGCATCTATCTATCCTATGCAAGGCCCTATGTTGCACACCCTATGCTACGAGCTGATACATACTATGCAGCGCCGACATTAAGGAGCCCTCTCGGCAGCCCGAGTTGTCCCATCGACATCGACGGACAGGCTCTATGACTAACAAGTTTGCACTTTAACGCATAACGGGGCATTCCGCCGTGTACCATAGATCATGGTCCATGACCCGCGGATTGCGTGGGCCGGCCACCATAATCATTCCTCGCCTCGATACAGCGACGCGGCGGCGATGCGGTACCACGAGCATTAAGTTTCCGACTCTTCTCCTTCTTCTTCTTCTTTTTCTTCATCGTCTTCTTCTTCTTCTTCTTCGCCTTTCATTCCCACTCCCGCTCAATCTCAATCGCGCTATCTCCCGCATCAAACTCACTCCTTTTGCGATGGCGCAGCCAATTTCGTCGCTTCGATCGAGAAATAATCACGTCGCGCGACTAATCTCTTCAGGGACAGTTATTTTACATTTGATTGACGAATTATGTGTGTAAAAATTAATTAGTCAAACTAATCAAATTGTGTATATATGTATATAGATGGCAATTTCATCTAATATAAAATTTACTCTTCGTTACATTGATTACTGATATAAAACGCACTTCATTCAATAATCAAAAATATATTTGCGAGATATTTTTAAAATAAATTTGTTAAGTATGGTAAATGTCGTTTTCCCCGAAGAAACCGGCAGAAACGTTCATGGCAAGGCAAAAATTTTGCAAAAATCTCAGTAGTTTTGCAAGAAAATGCAAATCCGAACGAAATAGCGCGTAACTCTGTGCATACGAGGTATTCGCGAGTAGTACAGGTTGTACCAACCGCGAAGATTAATTTAGCCGCAGCTATAAATAAATGTCGGATAGATAATAAATCGTTCCGCAAAATACGCAGCGCGGATAAATAGATACCTTCGGGGTAACGAAATTCCTTCGATTTTTCATCGACGGTCGCGCGATTATACATAATTAATCGATCCGGCGCGACATTCCGGTCAGGATACGATCGCGTCGCGGGTATTCGGGATCTCCGATCGCCCGTAATAGAAATGTAATCCTGGGTTATTGGGTTTTATCTAGATTATAAAATCTAAATGACTCAATCGCCGACGACGATGCATCATCGCCGAACGCGTATCAAAAATGATTACGACCAATACGTCGCCGTCGTAATCATTGTCATTAGTGTAATTATCATTATTTATTGACCGGCAATAATATCGTCTAAAGTTTCGCTCGTATAACGTCGCTCCACAAACGGGATACCGACGTCGCGCATTTTACTCTTCGGAAATTAATTATAAGTAATGATACGGCACATGACACGAACGACGCGCGGACTGCTCTGATTAAGCACTGTTGAGAGGAAATGCACGGCGACATAAATTGTAGCCTGCAATCGGGCAAGGCGATATAAGTGTCAAGGACGTTTTTCATATATCGTCACAGACTTTTCTTTCCTGTTGTATCTACTTCGTAATAAGCAGATAAGATTTATTACGCTTACTCCCCAATGCTGTCACGTATTTACTCTACATTCTCATATGATCGAAAAATGAAAAGAAAAAGCCAATTAAACTTGGGTGCGTACGTTTCTTAAGAATAATAAAAAGAGGACATTTAAATTAGATATCTTATCGCTTTAAATTAGAAATGTAGCATTCCATCATTTTCAATTATATAATTATAACGATCTTTAAGTATAATAATTATATTACTAGAAGCTTTTAAATTACTTAAAGCAATCTAAAATGTTGTTAAAAATCTTGTTTTTTTATCGCTTCTTTTTTTAAATTTTTCTTCGCACCGTAAAAACAGTCCAGCCAAGAAACCGTTTTAAAAACTAACTTTTGCCATATTTTTACATTATATTGTCGTTTATCCCAATCTTCAAATATCTCGCACGTCTCTTAAAAGTTGTTTTATCTCTTGTTGTTTCACAGCTCGAACCGGCAGACTCGATGGTTCGAAGGTAAATGGCCACGAAGGAACTTTGCCCGACGAAATGTATCATATAATCTGATCGTCCTTGCCAGCAATGCAAAGACACATAAGCGACGGCATAATGAGCCATTAGCCCGAGAGTGTCGATGACAGAGCCTGATACTATACCCGCTATCTCTTCGTAAACCGAATGCGCCATGAACGTTACGCGTGTTCCCCCCAACGCTTTAACGCTCCGAGAGTGAACATCGTTTAATCATCGATTACCACGGATTCTCCACTCTCGCGCGAAACATATCGTAAAACGAGCAAACAAAAATTTGGAAGATATGCAAATCCATTGAGTATACGAGGCGCGATGCGAGAAACGAGATGGTTCAAAGATAATATTTTCGTTTCGTATAACTGTTGCGAAATCGCAAGAAAATTCTTCCTCCTTTATGACTTTCGTACTGTCTGTATACATTATAAACGAAAGAGATGGGACTGGAATGATTCGAAAGACTTGAAAAATATTGGTATAAACTTCAAAATATATGTAATTAAATTTTATCGTTATTAAATTAATATTTTAGTTTGCAAATGTGTTCATATTTTTAGTCAATTTTAATACTAGTGATCATCGAGACTTAAGTGAATATAAAATTTACGCGATATTTACGAATAACAACGTAGATTGTATTTGGAAGATCTCGAAGAGATCTGCCACTGAAGGCATATAAGGCAAAAATTAATTCTCGTTAGACAGATTCAAATTTATATATCGCAAAAAGACACGATATATAAATTGATTTATGAAAAGCCTCGGTCGAGCTTCCGTGCACGTCGTCACGTAACTTATCGTGTCGACGAGCCGGAAATCGAACGAAATTTCTCCGGGGGACTCGAAAAAGGACGACCATCGGGGAGGGGGGGGGGCGATCGGGACAAACGGATGGAATCCCAGATGGTCGCGATGGACACGCGATGCGTACGGCGTACGTGCGGTCCGCAATGTATACGCCGCCGAGGAAGATAGCCGGGTGTAAGAGTCGGGTTCTGGTCCGCGAGGCTGCGGTATCCGACGAGGAGGGTGCCCTTGAAGCGGGCGGGGTCGTCACTCGCAGGGCCGCGGGTAAACGACCATCGGAAACCCATGTGTGTTACCAGCCGGGGCTCGGAGCCTTACAGCCTCGTAGCTTTACTTACTCGCACTACTTAAGTTTCTGGGTGTGTATGCGCGTCTCACGCTGATCTCCCTCTCCCCCCTCACCCCCACCCCCTTTCTCTACCTCCTCTCCCATCCCGTCACGGGAAGCACCACCGTGGACCACGGAGAAAACCTACCTTGCCCATCTATACCACTACCCACCGGTGGAAGCGCCGGCCGGCCGGCGACCACTTCTCTTGCCTTACGAGTGTTATGAAACGACTCCTGCCTTCTTCCTTCACGCTGCCAATTTATAGGTTTAATTACCGCCTCGTGGCGCGCGGTGCTCGCGATCCTCGTCGAGAGCAGAAACCCGAAGCTGGATCATACGGCGACGTTAAAAGCGATTTAATCCGTCGGACTGCTGTATTAATCGACGATAAGCGATTTGTCCGCTTTACAGGTATTGCTCGAGACTGTCGGCTATCAGAGACAAGCGTACGCAGCGTTGATAGAGCGCACTTGCGCTCTAAAGGTATGTTCAACTCTTTCGCCGCTGCCATACTCAATCATACCTCTTGTTACTTGTGACGTACAGACATATATAATATGTATATAATTAGAAAAGAACGTAATTAGAATTTGAGCGTATAAAGTCGAAATATTAGCAGGAAGTACTATTTAATTTTAATGTGCATTCCTAACATAAGTAGTATCCATTAATCTAATTTCTATTTTAATGTATATTCCCCGAGCTTGTCGCCGTTTTCAATATATTCGTATTTTTTCAAGTTTAAAAAAGTAATTTTTATATTTAAGGAGAAAAAGTGGAATTCAAGAAAAAGAAGTTATTAAAATGGCACAAAGAAATAATGTTCAATTATCATAAATCAGTTTGCTCAAATTTCGTTGTCATGCATTACTAGTGATATGCTCGTCATAATGATCCAGATTTCAAAATTGATCCATACAGAAATTGAAATCGGCAATTCCTGATCCATAGTCATGTTTATATTTTTATCAAGTTTCGTCCTTTAAAATAATTTTGCGATCGGGGTGCGTTTTTGTACAAAAGGGGGTTGAAAAATTGCTGTCTAAATAAAAAAGACTTATTTAAGCCAATAGCGACTCTGGATTAATAAAAATTATGCATATTAAAAACGTAATTTCTTGGACCTAGTAGAAAAACCGTGAAAAAATCTCGGATTCTTTTCTCAGTGGAAAAGGGCTCGTGAAAAGAAAGGGGTTCGGTGGCGGGCGAAAGGCGCGGTACCACGGATGGAGAGGAAATGGTTCGCGACGGGCCGTGTTGCGCGAGGGCAACCTTGGGCATAACTCGGTAGGGCCGGACGTGCACCGTAGTGCTCCTACAGCCCAGTAATGAGCCAAATCCATTACGGCAGCGGGAACAGCGGCCAGCAACACCGTAAGCCAACTATGCTACGCGAGTCCGACTCCGGTCTCCCATCTTTCCTCCCTCTCTTCCCCGGCCCCTCTAGAGAGAGTTTTACCCAACCCTCAGCCATCCGCTTACCATCCACCCATCCGCGATCTGTACGTGTGCCTATGCCACGCACGTACCGTGTCGTTAACAAGCCCCTAACCAATGGCACCGGTTCGGTACCGATTCCAATTATAGACCGCGTTAGAGCGCGCGTTCCACGTAGCTCTAGTGGCGCATATATACATATACATAGAGATAGAGAGAGATAGAGTATCGGAGAGTAACGTTCCATACCTTCTTTTCCTTCCGCTCCTCCTGCGCGCTTCACGTCCTCGTCTCTCAACCCTCCGACGTAGTTGCTCCTTTTTCGAATTCGAAATCGCGGAACCGGACCGCCATTATGCTCTCCACTCCCCGACTCGGGGGGGGTAAACCGAGAATTTACGAGACGGGGATTCGCGGGAGCAATTTCGTCGCCGGATGAGTTATCGTCGAGGGAACGCGGTACTCGACGGCGGTGGTCGCGGGGTATCCGCGCAAGGTGTACTCGCAAGGTCACGACGCGCGACCGAGGACATTCCTCCCTCCGCCCACCCTCCCCCGCCGCCGCCCCCCGCGGCCGCCACCGCCGTCGCTGCGGTCGGTGGTGGCGCCACGCAATTGTCAATTAACATTTTTACCGACGCGCAAGAAAACACGAAGCTACATACCGTAAAGCCGCGTACGTACATGCCCGCGGTTGGTCCGTGCTCGACGGGGTTCCTCCGTGGGGTCACGAAAACGATGCGCGCGCGGGTACAGGGCCGAGTAGGTACCGGCATTCGGCAACGATCGAATGGACGAATAATCGCGCGCGCATTCATTTGTATATTTTTAAACAAAATATGCAACATTCTTTCTTTACAGCCCGCGTCAGGCGGTACTCCGACTTTTCTCGACAAATCTCGTTGCGATCGACTACATAATGACTAATTTTAATTTTAATTTTAATTTTAATTTTAATTTTAATTTTCGAGACAAAGAACAAGATCTGATGTTATTAGTACATCAATACCGTAAAAAGAATATTTAGGTGAATAATAAATGTTAATACTTCATAATTTTAAAAATAAGTTTCAAATCTAGGAAATTGCGCCAAATAAAAGGAGGAAATATGATAAATATTTAAAAAATACACCAATATCAAAAGAAATTATTTTATGAATTAGTATTATACGGCAAAAAATATAAGACGTCGAGTAAAATATAGACAAAAAAGTCGATGAAGAATTCACGATAGATGCGTTACCTTGAAAAAAAAAAAAAAAAACTAGGAATATCTGAGGATCTTTTCGAGAAATATATACACAGACATATATACATATCTCCGGACAAATCCATCCTGATACTTAAGAAAACAACGTGGACTCGTTTTTCACTCGTATGTTGGCGAGACGCGATTAATACCATTATTAATGTGCGTATATCCCACCCCAATTTATTTTTCTCCTTGAAAACTGCTAATTGAGCTCTACGCAGGGGCCGACCGGACGCGATCCGGAGACTCCACGGTGCGATATTTCTGGATTAGTAGTCGGTCTAGATTAAATTCCACGACGTTCTAACGGCGCGAATAATATCCCGTTCGGGCGAGATCGACGATAATTTATGAACTTGCCGAGGCACAACCTCGAATTTTTTTTAGCGATTCGCCATTTCTGGCTCGATCGCGATACCGGGGTTGTTCCGATTATTTATTACAGGAACGGAATTTATTTATTCGCGCGGTCGCCTTACTTTGTTCAGGATACGTTGCTAATAGTCGGAATACTAATACATAATCGGAATACTACAAATTCTGAATTTTCTATTGAAAGTGCCATAAGATTAAACGCGTTAGATTTAGAGCGCTTCGTTTATCCAATTCTTATCCAACGAGTAGAATTTCATCAGAATAATGAAAATAATCTTTGTCAGAGTTTGTTGAAGTTGTAGATAAAATCAAAATTAAAAAACAAAGTGTAAATGGATCCTCTGAGACATATACTTGACGAATATTGTATATCAAACGCATTCGTTCGTTCACTTTTTTATTATTATTAATAATTAATTAATTTAATAATAGAGAGCTAATTCATTTTATAATTTTTAAAAATTTTATTTTATATTATAGGTATATAAAATAAACTTTCTTATTCATTTGCTTTGCACAGATTTGACCTGACTTTTGCAAATTAAAAAAAAAGCTGTATTTATAGTCGTAAAATACTGTTGTAACGTATGACTCTGTAAGAGAATGCGGACTAAAGAAAACAGGGATATAAACATGTTATTCCAATGACACGAAACTGGCAACCGAAAGATATACGCGAGTTTTATCAATCTTCAGCAGATGCGAGTGGAATATGAAATGGCGATTTGTTCCGCTCGATAGAATTTGCAGTGTACGCACCGTTGAGATATGTAACGGTGAGATACAGGATGGACATATTTATGTACGAACTGCATTCGCTAGATGCAAATATCGGGCAGTTGGACAGCAACATCAAGCTACTTGCTTGATAGCCATAAACAAATCTTCGAATAACCAAAGTAGTACAACCGCCAGCGAACCTTTTTTCTCTTATCGGAAAACATGCAAGAACATCAATAAAAAACACTCACCCTATCTTGGTGATGAGCTTCCCGTGAACATGAAGATACGAAGTGACGAATCGCTTGTTCACCTACAAAAAAAAAAATACAAAACTGTGAAGCGATAGATAAAACATTTTCTCTATCATCAGACGTATTAAAAATGTATCAATAATAATTTTATCAAAAATATATCAATAATATATCAATAGTAGTTATCAGGCATATTAATAGTCGAGATATACATTATATTATACTAATTATCATTAATGTTTATCAATTTTAATTTTAAAAAATATAAGAAATCAAGAGCTTTAAAAGAATTTTGCATCTGCTTGGTAGATACGTAGCACTTTATCGTCTGAATACGAAAGATATACACTATGGAAGACGTGGCTTTTGGAATCTATTAGGCAAATACGAAAGGGAAATAGGTACCTCGACACTCGTTAATTGCGATAACTCCTCCAAGTCGCTTGCGTGGGACAATCTCGCTTCATTGGCCGCGCTTGTTGTACGTCGCACTCGCCTACCGTCGCCAGGATGAATCCACGTTTCTCTCCTCAGCCCGCCGCCGATGATGTTTGCACCTTCCTTTTCCTTCATCCTCGCCCGCTCCTTCGACTCCCTTTCCTCCTTCCGTTTACGTTCGATAGACTCGTACTAAGAATATTTCGTTTATTCAGAAAGTACCTCTACCGTGTATACCTGATGCATTTACGATGCATCGTGTATCAGATGCAGTGCATGATATAAATCAGCATTTACAATTGTCGGTGTATGTTACAAATGTCGTTATATGCACATCGTTGCCATGTATGTACAAGTGTAGAAGTTACGAGCACTACATGGCGTTATGCACGGTGATCCGCGACCAAATCGGTCTCTAATTTACAGATTCTTCGACGGGAATTTAATTCGTGATCTAATCACCGAACTATTTTATCGTAGTATATGAAATAAATAAAGTTAGCAGTTTTCAATAAATAATATTCTCTATCAAATTCTATTAAGTACCGTTGACAAATTTTATTATTGGAATAGAGACGACGATGGTAACGGAACTCCCTTTGTACAGTCAGCTAGTCATACAAAGAGTGTCCATCGGACAATATTTGTATTCCTCATTTGTACAAATTCCCGTGTCTATGATAAGTGCATGCTAACGAAATGTGCAGAGCTCTAGCGAAGATAAGAAAAGTCTCTAACATGGATTTACAGCAAAGCATTTCTGGAAATTTAGGAACATTGGCTCTTACAAACAGGCAGTCTCAAAAATGCTGCAGGCATATCGTTAGCAAATATTGTGTTCTTGTGTGAATTTCTCCAAAAGTGAGTGGTTCCGCCCACCTTTGTATATATTACACTTAATTAACTATTCTGTACACGTTTCTTTTCTGTGTAGTGTTCTTAATCATTTATTAAAGCTAACATTTGCATGAGCGATTACTACAAAAAAAATAGCTATGCAGAAGTGTATTTAACTAAAGATATATGCAAGAACGATATTTACTGTTTTAATAGTTGCAAAAGGCATTAATTCGCCGCATTTGCTCTCAAGAGTTAATGGAATGTAAAGATTCTAAGTACACAGATGGATTGAAACATCAAGGCTCCAAAAAGCACGTAAAATAGAAAATTTAATATGACAAGCAGTAAAATAATAATTAACAGGTAAATAAAGCCTTGATAAAGCCTAAATAAATAAATGATGAATAAACATCTAGAGAATTCACACCAAGTATCAAAATTTACTTACATAATGTAGATACTGGCGGCAAAAGAAAATCAAAATATTATTAACGTTAGTATAGATACAAACGGTTTAACGATACGTTTCATAAGTTCCCTTACCTTCTTTCTGTTTTCGTCGAAGAGCCCTATCAGGCTTTCTCTGGCAGAATGGAAAGGATTGGACGCCATAAGAGATCTCATGTAATAATACACGGCATCTAATTTCCGTCTCTGAAAACACGAGAAAATAATGAGAAAAATATATATGCATTAAATTACATTCACTACAATAAATGTAATTAGTAAATGCGTACCGCATAATGCGCCAGTAAGGCAAGTTGATTATAAGGTCTGCCATTTTTAGGATTAATTTGTTGTGCTTTCAAGTACCACCTGTACAGAAAAAAATAAATCCAATATGTCGAGTCTTTAGAATTATTGCTGTCATAATTCATAATTATATACTATATTATAAACACTTACTGCCTAGATTTTCCATAATTGCTCGTTTCGTTCGCTTGCTCCCTATACCTCGCCAAGTCTCCCAAAAATAAAAATATCTTTTGCGCACTGACTAAGGCCAGTCCCAAGAGTCCGAGACCCTTAGGTAGACTCGTCAACGCAAAAAACGTGTCTAATTTGAACTGATACGTAGTCTCGAGAGTAGTCAGTAAACTTTCCAGATAAACGGTACCCTCATCAATGATATTTAACATTATCTGCTTGTAACGTTCCCGTCCTTCCGAGTTTTCTTTGGGCATCGCTTTTCGCAGCATTTCGATCAGATTATAAAACAATATCTTCCAAAAGTGTTGCTCAACGTTTTCCGCCTGGCAGAATTTGATATCAGTCTCAAGCAAGATCTTTAAGCTCTGTTGAAGGAAGTGTCGTATATACGAGACTCTATCCAAACGCGAGGTAAAGCCACCGGAACTTATTATCCATTGTAGTTCCAGATCGGCACGTTCTATGTCCAATAGAAGGCAGTGATTTTTTGCTGAGTGAAAACTAAAAAAAAATTAAATAGTAATGTAATGTAAACGCATATATAACAAAATCCTAGAATGATATAACAATGCGTGACGTAAGAATAATTGAATATATACCTAGCTGAAAATGGGTCATACCACGAAGGTCTCACATTTCCGATTTGATCGTTCATGTACGGCGATGGCATACCGTCCAATTGAGCGCCATGGAAAGAGTAATGTGGCAATGTGATACCTACATTAGATTGAAATACTGGAACGCTTGAGACTTGCATGTCACTATCCCTTAAAGAGAATAAATCGTTTTATTATCTCTTATAATTAATACATCGCAAGAACGAGAAGAGAAGTTAGTGTTGTACCTCTGTACAGCTGCTCTGCTTCCGGGAGAAGTGATAACGATAGGTTTATATGGATTATTCGGATCAAAAAGCGTTCTCTGTTGTTGCTGTCCGGTTCTTTGCTGAGAAGTTGTAGCTGTCTGATTGGCAGACGACTGGCTAGTCTCATTAGGCAAGATCAAGACGCCCGGTTGAGCGTTACTGTATCCCGTCGGAGACGATCGGTGTCCTATCGAGTTCGAATTCACGCTCGAAAGGGGAGCAGTGTGAGAGGAAACTTTAGGAGTTTGTCTCCCGTCATCCGACTCGCAAGTCGATATTTTTCTGCCAGTTCTCCAATCTTCGTCTAAGTACCTATCAGTTCTGAAATAAGATATTTTTATACATAATTTGAGATATTTATACCTAAAAATTGCATACATAATCCAAGTTTTAAAGAAATAAATACCTGCGTCTATGAAGATCATCGAAATTTCTATAGTTGACACCATAATTTCTGTCTTTACTCGATTCTCGACTATGCTGAATAATATTACGCCTCCTGTGATCGTACCGCCTACCGCTATTATTATTGTTATTATTCTTTTGATTATTATTATAATTATCGTTCTCTCTGTTTTGTTGATTTTTCTGACGTTCGCGGCTGTTACCTCGTCCTTTGTCTCTGCTACTGCCACTTGAATAATTCAAAATAATCTCATTAAACGAAGAATCTTTCGATATTTGTAATCATCTTTTAAATAGATAAAAAACCTATAAAGTTCTACTTACCGATCAGCATCACGATGTTTATCACGTTTTTTTTTTTTACGTCGTCTGTTACTCTCACCTACGGCCTGACTTCGCGGCACACTTGTGCTTTCCCGTATGCTTAATACGGACGAACTACGGCTCAAATGTTCTTGTTCTAACTTCTCATTCAATTCAACTTCTTCACACCAGTCCTAATTGAAATATAATTCTATATATTTATATTGCCCAGGGAATATTTTAAATATTAATTCATCAATTTATGTACTTACGAATGTTTCAGATGCGGTATAAGATGATTTGTTACATGATTCGCTTTTCACAGAGCAAGGATTTGTGTTTTGTTGATTATTCTGCTTGTCCAGACTTGAACTGTGCTCGTAGGTATTACTGGTAATTGTTCTTTGCCTTAATTATACCAAAGTTATGTTATTAAACACATATAAAAGCATGAAAAAAGAAATAATTGTATAAATATTTAGTTACATGTTACTGGTGCGATTGTCTGTTGGTGATGTTGCGCCTCTGCGATGATTCTCAGGTGATCTGTGGCCTCTGTTCGAATTTGATTGCGAAGTTGCGGGCGACGCGGATGACGGCGGTGGCATCATTACGCTATCGGCACGACTTAAGCTTTCCATGCTGGTGTACATAGTGCTATTGCTACCACGGCGATCATAAGACCTGTTAATCGCAAATTTTGTAATGTTCCAATAAAAGTTTTTACAGATTACTTAAACAGAAAAATCAATATAAATATAATAATATATATTTTTACCGATTCATATATTCCTGGCTAGGAGTATGGGACCTGGAACTCGGAGCAGAGTACTGTTCAGGTGTAACAGGCCTGAAATTGCTGCTTGCTGTACCATCTAATTCCTCGGGTCTCAGTCTACCTCTACCTCTGCTTCTCGTCGGTACGGTATTAGCCCAATTAGATTGCGGTGGCAACGATCCAGATGGTGGCAGATTTTGCATGGTTTGCGAATGCTGCATCGCTGGTGAGTAATTATAACTGGACATACCCTGCTAATACATATTAGAATCCACATGTTACTTCAATTATAAATCACCATATTGGATATAAATTAATACCCGCAAAATATAAAAAATAAGATAAAACAGCACTGAACGAATTTTTACCTGAAATGTAATGCTGCTACCGTTCCAGGTGTCCTCTGTGGACGTTCCTGGATTGTTGCTAGGTAACGCGTACCCATTATCAAGAAGATATTTCTTTTGAAATCGTGGTGGCAGTTGTTCTAACTTTATATTTTTCGACAAACTGTCTTTCGCGTTGCCGCGTCGGCCTGAGGGTGGCTTGCCTTGAAACTTATCCGAATGCCCAGCGGGCTCAACACTACGAGTGTCTCGCGTACGATTAAAATCGTTCTGGTTGGTCATAGATAAAGGTTCCGAGCCCTAATAACACATAAAAAAATTTTGTTTCCACGTTGAGCTATCCTTCTGCATTATAATTTTATAATCTATTATTATAGTACTTTAATATTTCAAATCAAACAAACCTGTCTGACTTCACGTAAATTATCCTTTCGATTCGCACAGTTTCTAGCGGATACCGGTGATTCGGATCGCCAATACCAACGCTCCTCATTCTCGTTCGCATGACGATGTCGACGGTTACCCGAATACCGTTTACTGGTGTCATCTCTACCTCTGCCTTCGCTTTCATTGTCTCGCGTGCTGTGACTGCTCGCTCGACTACAATCGCTTTTATGATTACGATTGGAATGCGAATCGCGATCATTACTCTCTTCTCTCTCTCGTTCCCACGCGGAATGGCTAGGAGATCGAACAGAATTCATTAACTCATATCAGGATAATGTAATAAACACTACTGCCATATTGTTTTTCCGTATTAAGCATTACTTTTTTATCATCAGGGTAGTTTTATGCATCTTAGATCAATGAGAATAAAAAGAGGCAATTTTTTTTACCTATTGGTTCCGTCCTGTTCAGCCAATGCTTCCTTCACTTTTTTTGGTACATATAGCAACTGCTCAGGCTTCCTATTTTTCTTTTTTGGATCGTTTCTACCTGCTCCTCCGCCAGAGCTGTTACCAGTGCTCTGTGCCGGTTCGCTATTGCTGCTATTTCTATAGTTAATATGGGTATTGTCCAATTTTTCAGCTACATTGTCGATTTGTGACAGAGGTGGACTGTCCTGCGCCTGATTAGCTCTATTGACTTGCGACTGTCTCGAACGATACTGGACGGAGGTCATTCTGGATTTTTCTTGCGAGCCATTTTCATTGTCGTATTCGTCGGCAGTGCTGTTAGATCTGCCTGACTTACGTAAAGGGCCACTTCCCGGCCTATATAAAGCCTGAGATGCTCTATTTCCTCCGCCGCGTATCCCTGCCAGTCTGTCCTTCTCCAATTTAGAAGCCATTGACTCTGAAAATTGTTATTACAATGCTACTCATAGAAAAATTCAAGTTTTTCAATTATTTTATTTCTTATACTCATAAACGCTTTATTCAAATATTTTACACATTTAATTATAATTTCATTAATCATACATATAAATTGTTATTAAATTATTTCATAAAAATTATATAACAGCAGCAATTTTAATACAGAAATGTATATAAATTATATGTTACACGTATGATATATACATCACAGTAACAGCCTTTTCTCTTTTAATCATATTTTTTCAATACTTGTATAGTACAGTAATAAAAATACGCTGCAAAACAAAGGCTGATTTGAACCGACAGAATCAATTACTAAATCAAATATCTCACGCACGTATATACTTCTAATTCAAATACACAATAACAAATAAAGTAACTGTGATGCTTCAACATTATTTTCTCTGTAACATATCTCAAGAATTACTCAATATCACGCGCAATATTGTATATACAGATTAAAGAATGTCGTCATTGTCGTCGCAAGAGTGGACAAAAATCCCGCAAACTTATACACCTGATACGTCCTACTCGTAGCTCAAAAAAGCCTCGTATCCAGGACGATTTAGTCCTCGATGAACGTAGCGAATTCGGAGAAACCGCGGAGCGAGATTTATCAACTTTTAACGAAAATATACGGAACCGTTTGTACTGACACTCTCGACGACGCCGAAATTTACCAAGCGGAACGTCCCCTCCGCGGGCGGGTACCGCCACCCAGGTCGGAAACCGATCGCGGATCGTGCAGCACCGAATCCGCTCAATCGAACGAGAACCGTCGTGATCGTGGGATTCGATCGTCGCGTCGCCCAAACCGCCGTAAAATAACGCGACATCGCAGAATGCCCCGCGGTGTTTGTAGGTTATCTCGCGCAGTGAGGTTAATTTCGCACGTTATACGCGACCCGGGTCGCGGGGGAAGGATCGCGAATTCGGCCCGAAATTAAGCGCGCGAGGGTGCCGGCGACGGCGCGACGCCGCTACGGTCGCTTCGCTCGCGAAATAATGACATTTTCGCCGAGATACCTTGTGAAAATCCTCCCCACTTTCTGCGTCCTTTGTCGCGGTTCGCCATATTGAAATGCAATCGCACGAAGTCGGGATTTTTCTATCGCAGCGCGACGTCCGTGAATGCGAGCATGCGAGCTTTGCTTTGCGCCCTTTGCGGGCAAATGTGCAGGCAAATGCGAAGAACGAGAGACGTCGTTGTTGTCGACTATTTTCAACGGCAATTGAACGCTACCGCACCCCGCACCATCTGCGTGCGTGCACCATCTCCCGAAAACTTCGCAGCGCCGCGCGCCGCCGGTAGCTGAACGTCGATAAATGTCGGTACCGACCGCAGATAAATTTTACTGCGCCTATGTAATAAAAATCAAAAAATCGAATTTAACGCATTATTTCTCTTGCGTTTCTTTTCGCACGCGCCTTTTATGCGATTATGCAAATTCTGATTGAAGTCCTCAGGAAGAGTTTAGGAGAAGATCGAATTAATAAACGCACGTTTGACTTATTGTCGAACTGGCATCCCAGTGCGCGTGACGAGTCTCGAATATTCCAGAAACGCTCGAACCCTCAAATAATCTACCCTTATTTCGGCACAATGTCGAAATTCGCGGAATCGCGCGTCGCCTCGTTTCGGTCCTCGCGGATCCCGGCGTCTCCACGTCCGGTTGGACCTTGCCTGAACCTGAACGCGGTGACCGGGACGGGATTTCGGGAAAGGTAGGCAGGGTGCGCGGAGCATGTTTACGAGCACGTCAGTCGATCGCGTCGATTCACAGCGTTTACAGTTCGGCAGGTGGGACCTCGGACTCCTCGGAGCTGTCAGTCAGTCACGCCGCCGGTCCGCTCGCGCATGGCACGGCATGGAGCGCGCCAGAAGGGAATCGGAATGCGATGCCGGAGCGGCAGGGAGTCCGGAGCAGACGGACCATCCTTGGAACGATTTGACCACCATAACCACGTTCGACCAGGGTAATCTGGCGCCCTATTTCGAATATGCGACGCATACAGTTTTCCTCCGAAATGTGGGATTGAGTGACCTTTACGTTAGAATTTGTCACCCGAAATAATTTATCCTGAAATCTAATACATTATTTTTTTACGAAATATAAAAATTAGATTTTTTCACAGTGAGAGCGAAAATTTCGAATCTATAGTGTTTATTTTGTTTTTAAGTGACTGATTTATTAAAAGGAAGGGAGAAAAGATATCCTGCAAAAATGTATATTTAGAATAATTTTTTTCAATTTTTTTTTATATTATATTTTATCATGTATATATATATACCTCATATGTTGCATCATTTTTTTATGATTGAGAATTCAAGCAGGCATTTTTGCAATTTTTTAAAATTGGGATACTTAATGTCTGGTATTTGAAAATCTTGATTTGTTTGGGAACAGGTGACAACATGAGATCGACGTTTTGCTTGAATAATATCGACGAAAATCAAAACAGCGGGAAAATTATGCCAGCAGGAAAGTCACGAAAGCCGCAATTGACTCAAGCCACTGTCTTAATCGAATCGCTCCTACAACAATTATGCGCTATATTAGAAGGGGATAAAGTTCGCAGAGAGAAATTATATTATGGCAATTGATCTTTTTTCTGTAAACATTATTGACACGCGTAGAAATATTTCTGCTGGAAGCTAATGATAAAGTTTATTTTACAGCTATCTGTAAGAAACTACACGACTTGCAATTAATTAATGACACCTACGATACAATGGAATTTGAAACGCTAAAAGGAAAATACCAACGTGCTTTCTGTCAGATGCTCTCAGTCGCTCGCGGTCAGCCTGAAAGCGACAGTGTTATGTTTATGCCAAAGTATTTACAGTATTTCATATATAATATGTTCTTCCAGATCTTATGACATTGTAACGTCACATTGGCGTTGTTTACAGGTTCCTAATACCGAAATTGCGATACCACGAGGAATTTCAGGAAATAAGTTTTATCGCTCGCGGAGGTTTCGGTGAAGTCTATAAAGCGCGACATCGTCTCGACGGCATCGAATATGCGATTAAAAAAATTACCATGCCCACTGATCGTATAGAGATTATACAGAAGCAATTGAATGAAGTAAGGGCATTGGCTAAATTAAATCATACTAATATTGTTTCCTACAATGCGGCTTGGATTGAATCATCATCCTACAATTCGAGTAGTGTGCCACCCCCAGATCGTAAATCATACAGATCGCATACGTCGAAACGCCATCGAAAGGAGTCCAAGTCGTACAAATCGTTGATCGAAGATTTATTCAATAGCAAAAAAGGTCTGAATCTTAATTTAACACTAAGATATATCACAATTAACAAAATATATTACTCGATACTAAAATATCTTCTGTAATTGATATGTATACAGATGTTAAAACGAAAAAGCGAAGTAAGATATATGGGAATATTGATGATAGTGATACCAATCATGACACTATTAGTAAGAGATTTGAAGAACTCGATTCGTCGGCTGACATCACAGAAGAGAGAATAATTGAGAAAAGTAACGAGGAAGAATCTACTGAGGAGTCCAGTTCAGACGTAGTGTCTTTCCGAAATAGCAAGAGCAATGAAAATCTAGATCAAACAATTATAGATACGGATACTAGTGGTAGCTATTCGGTCGAAGAATCCTCTAGCCGAGACGTATGCACGTACGATAAAGTAAGTGGACAATATAAATATAATATAGATATAAATTGACATAAACCGACATAAACGCATTTTTTGTTTTGAAACACAGATTGTGGATATTGAAAGTATATTGCTAAACATAAATTTTAATATTTGGCAAATGTTTTGGGTCAACAGAGTCGACCGTATGTGACTTTATACATTCAAATGGCCTTGTGTGAACAGACACTCGAACAATGGCTGCGCGGTAGAATAAATGTAACGCCTGAACCATTAGCTAGAGCGATATTCCAACAGATTCTTTGTGGAGTCGATTATATGCATTCTCAAAAAATCGTGCATCACGATATAAAGGTAACGATGCTCATATCTTGATCAACGTCACAGTGCAATCTCTTTTGAAATGTAATAGAATATGTTTACGTTTTCAGCCAAGCAATATATTTATTTCGACATCTGGACGGCTTCAGATTCAATTAGGTGATTTCGGTTTAGCATGTCCATTACAAATAGGAAATCATCATTCTGTGGTTGGTACTCATATGTATGCAGCACCGGAACAACTTAAGGGAAATTGTGATCCAAAGGTAATTAAGAGATAAGAAAGAAAATTTTGATGAAAAAAAATTATACCTATATATAACATTTATATACTTTAATATACCCTCTATTTTGATACTCTTTTTATTCGCAGAGTGATGTCTACAGCATTGGAATCGTCCTTGTTGAGCTTTTAATTTCAATAAAAACTCAAATGGAATTAAGCACTATAATTAGTTGCTTAAAGTCTGGTAACGTACCAGAAGATCTCAAGCGACACAAGTGGGTGAGTTTAAAATATATTGAATTATTTATTATATTTTATATTATATATCAACATTTTTATATTGTTTTTTACTAAATCTGAATTGTGTATATGCTTTTACTTAGGCACAAATCGTCAAACAATTGGTACAAGAGAATCCCGTCAAACGACCATCGACAAGTCAGCTTCTGCAGAACTTTAATAACGACAAGGATGTGATAATAAATGGATTGAAAGATACTATTGTGAATTTAAAAAATGATAATCGCATTAAAGATGACACAATTCAAAAGTTAGTGTTAGAGATTGTGTTATTAAAGGAAGAAGTTCAAAAATTGTCAATACAACAAATTGTGAACAATACAACAAACTAGACTGTTATACTAAGGAGCTTAAACTCATGAAAAACCTTGATATGACATTAATAAGACTGCCAAGTAATTTTTTTCTTGAGTTAATTCCTACGAAAGTCATGATTCACGCACATAGCAAAGTAAAATTAGTTTTTAAATATTTGGAAATTCATATTTTAATTCAACTTTCTTTTTATAGACATGAACAATAACTTATAACATATACATATATATATATATATATAGATATATATATATAATTATATAATATATATAATATATAATATAATATAATTATATTATATATATATATAATTTATAATATATATAAATTACATATTTTTTATTACATAAAACTTGTATAAAATTTTTACATTACTACGAGTACATATTCATAACTGATCAGTAACCTTAAACAATCGTGTTTAATTTTTCAACTAACAATAAGTATCTGACACATGCTGAAAAAAGACTGTAAAATATTTGTAATTAAGTAGATAATTAAATATCATATCGAATATGACGCATGCAAAATTGTCTTGCAGTGCCAGTATTTTTTACCACTACTATGTAAGTAGTTATGAATGTATAAGCATATTTCTATTATATTAAAATGTACAGAGAATATTTTGTCTCCTTTTATTTCTAACTTTGCATAATCTGTATGCACAGATAGATCAATTATCGCTTACAAATCAATAGATGTCAAAGTAGCAAGTCAGGTGATACATACAAGTATAGTTTTATTACCGTCTTCAATTTAATTATGATGATTATACACCACTATTTTTATATACAATTTTAACATTATTGATAAAATAGTTTACAATATAATATTAAATTATAGATTAGTGTTAAGTACAAAAAATATACATAAGATATTCTTTGAAAAAAATTATTTAAAAAAGAGTAAGATATACATCTGAAATATTCAACATAATATAATAATACTAAAAGATTTTTCAAGCTAGATTTTCAAGATATTCTTTAAAAAAGATTATTAAAAGAAGATTAAGATATACATCTGAAATGTTCAACATAATATAATAATACTAACAAATTTTTCAAGCTACTATTGTAACTTAAGTTACTTTACGTTGTATTCATGTTGAGGTAATTATCTTAAAATTATATCCAGTAGCGTCTTAAGTCGTTGCCCAACAAATATTCTGGAAGTAGTATAATCAGGAATGGCACATTGTTGCAACAAATACTCAATATCTGGATATTGCTGTTCAATATTAGTAGGTGCATCGTGAAGAAATCCACCGGGAAATGGATTTTCATTTCCTGAACTTAATAAAAGCTGCAATCACAGACTTTTGAATATGGGGCGTACAAGTTAACATGCAATGTATGAAAAGATACTTAATATATCTGACTCTTTAATTATATATAAATAAAATAGCAAGTACCTGACAAATTGCATAATAATTGTGATCACTTAGATGATGGCTACAAATATCCTTAGAAGAAAATGCAAAACAGTTGGGACAATCGAAATGCATTGTGTTCTCGTGTATTTTCTGCCATTCCTTTGGCTCATCTACAAATTAATATCACACAAATGCAGTACAACACGTATTTCATCAATAGGCTTGTGACAAGAAAATTTTACCTTCTTGAGAAATATTTTTGTCAACAATAATAATATTCTCCAAATCGATAAATTTGGCTACATTTTCATTATCAACAGCAATATTATCAGCCGATATATCCGTTAAATAAAAACTGAATCTTTTGTTTTTGAAGGTGAACATATAAGCGGCATTTAAGAGGCTCGAAGCTATTTTTACTCTATCAATCCAAGATTTGTCATAACAATCCGAAAGTGGTAAACCGATATATTCTTCAATGATAATCCGACCACAAGCTCCAAAATATTTTGGCACAGGCCATCCATCTTCAGCAGATAATATCTGAAAAGAACGAAGATAAAACACAAAGGTATATAATTATATTAATTTTTTCATTCAAGACTATATCTAACAACTCTTGTAATTTAATAAAATAAACTATATAGTTTTTATGAACTTTCGTAATTTACCTGAAGGATTAACGGCTCTGGATTTATGGAAACCAATGTCCAGAGATTAATTAGATATTGCGTGGGATTGATGTGTTTATTGTTAAGATGGACATTATAAAACAGATCGTCTAAGTGCCCTAATGTTGGACAAAGTCTCAGGCGACTTGTATCATCTTGGGAAAAATCGGAAGTAATTGTTTTTCTGATAAGATCATAAAAATCTGGCGCATATCTGTCTAATGGAACAAGAATCGAGCAGGGATATCCCAAATGGAGTTTGTTGCATAATGTAACGTCAAGCGCTTTTAATTCAGAAGAGTGTGCCAGCTTCTTCAGCACCACTTTGCTTTGATCATACGTTCCAAAGAATACATTTTTGACGCTGAACAAGTGAGAGATTATCGCATTAACATCATTCCATAAGAGATCTATTTTGTGAATGTTGTGACACGCAGAAACCCCATAACACGCCGGACACTTGTGCAGCTCCGTCAGCTGTGTCACAGAAGGATATAAACTTTGTAAAATAACGTTTATTCTTAAGGCAAGAACGCAAATGCCAATTAACAGTAATATCTTCCATTTTTTAAATCTAAAGATGTTACGTATATAATATAGAATCATGAATCAATTATCATATTCTTCCTCTATCTTTCTATGCAGAAACATCATATTTTATAAATCTCTTTTTGATTATACACTTCACAAAGGTGATTACAAGTCAATCCTTCAATCCTTTTCCAAAATTATTACAGCGCAAAATGACTCAAACTTGCAATTGTTTACTGCCTTTAAATCTTCTCAGATTTTAATCTGTATAACATTAAAAAATTTTTTTTTTATATGTGTTCACAGGTTATATTTCTCGTATCCGGCGCTTTAAATATGTAACTAATGCGAGTTTCGGTCAACAATTTCTAGGAAAGTTTAGTAATTTCCTAGGAATTTTCTAAGAAATTACTAAACTGCTGCTCGCTGCCGCAGCATTTCACTGCCCATGAAAACCCAGACACGGGATTCGTGCGTTCGGTGTGGCGCGAGAATTACTTTCCAACAATATTAGTTTTATTTTTAAGAAATATTTGTATTTCTTATATATAACATAAAATATTATATATTTTTTGACATTTGAGAGGTTTAAATTATTTAATAAAGTACTTATAAAATTCAAGACACTCGTAATATCTTACGTTTAAAAAATTATAATTATTTAAATTATAAGTATACGCAAGAATTAGGGATTCTATTTATCAAATTTTTCAAAGTTTTTATGTGAAAAGATTTTATCTAGAGATTCGAGTTACGTAATTTTTTAAATTAAATATTTAATTAAAATGTTAAAAAATACGAAAAATTAAGAATTTATGAAAAGAGTGAAAAAGATTAAGAATAAAAAGTTAAATGCATGTAATAATATTATTATTTTTAATATTGAAATTTGAAATATTAATTTGGATATTTATTTAAATATATTGATATTTTACAGATCAGTGTTGCATACGCGCGAATACAACCCTATTACTGCGCATCGCATTGATAAGTGCATTCAATTATTATCCTATTTTAATCTTGAAATTAAATAATCTTATATTTACTAAAAATCTTGTAAAAATATCTGTGCATACAAAGCATGACAAGAAATGTAAAAAATATCTTTAAGTTTGAAACAAGTTTGAAACTTTAAGTTTGAAATGAAAGTTTGCATAATATCGTTGCCTTGACTTGTCCATGGAGCAGTTTTTCTAAACAACAATAGTTTCGTATAATCAAAATTATATTATTGCCACGTTTAAATGTAATAACGTTCATCTACCTATATGTTTTAATTCTGTGAACTAGTTGCAAACCACCATATTGCAAGGCTAAAGTATCCCCATGATCCTCGTACAATTCTCCTAACATCCTCACGCAATCAGAATCAAATTCGAGTTTAGGAGATTCTAGTACACCCAAAGCACACAAC